AAAAAAAAGAGAGAGAGATTCCCTATTTAGTAAATGATGCTGGGAGAACTGGCTAGCCATATGCAGAAAATTGAAACTAGATCCCTTCCTTACACCATATACAAAAATTAACTGAAGATGGATTAAAGACTTAAATGTAAAACCCCAAACTATAAAAACCTTAGAAGAAAATCTAGGCAATACCATTCAGGACATAGGCATGGGCACAGATGTTATGACGAAATCACCAAAAGCAATTGCAACAAAAGCAAAAACTGACAAATGGGATCTGATTAAACTAAAGAGCTTCTGCACAGCAAAATAAACTATCATCAGAGTGAACAAGCAACCTACAGAGTGGGAGACAGTTTTTGCAATCTACCCATCTGATAAATGTCTAATATCAAGACTCTACAAGGAACTTATGCAAATTTACAAGCAAAAAACAGACAACCCCATTAAAAAGTGGGCAAAGGACATGAACGTACACTTCTCAAAAGACATTCACGTTGCCAAGAAACATGAAAAAAAGCTCAACATCACTGATCATTAGAGAAACGCATATCAAAACCACAATGAGGTACCATCTCATGCCAGTCAGAATGGCAATTATTAAAAAGTCAGGGAACAACAGATGCTGGTGAGGCTGCAGAGAAATAGGCATGCTCTTACACTGTTGGTGGGAATGTAAGTTAGTTCAACCGTTGTCGAAGATGGTGTGGCGATTCCTCAAAGATCTAGAAGCAGAAATACCATTTGACCCAGCAATCTCATTACGGGGTACACACCCAAAGGAATACAAACCATTCTATTACAAAGATATCTGCACATGTATGTTCATTGCAGCACTATTCACAATAGCAAAGACATGGAATCGGCCCAAATGCCCATCAATGATAGACTGTATAAAGAAAATGTGGTACATATACATCATGGAATACCATGCAGCCATTAAAAGGAATGAGATCATATCCTTTCCAGGGATATGGGTGGAGCTGGGAGCCATTATCCTCAGCAAACTAATTCAGGAACAGAAAACCAAACACCACATGTTCTCACTTATCAGTGGGAGCTGAACAATGAGGACACATGGACACAGGAAGGAGAACACACACAGGCCTGTCAGTGGGTGGGGTGCAAGGAGAGAGAGCATTAGGAAAAAGAGCTAATTCACACTGGGCTCAATACCTAGGTGATGGGCTGCTAGGTGCAGCAAACCATCATGGCACACGTTTACCTATGTAACAAAACTGCACATCCTGTACATGTATCCCAGAACTTAAAAACAAAGAAAAGAAAAAGAAATGAACAAGGGTTGGTGGGACAGACAGGGCAATTCTCAGCTTCTCAGCTCTCCATGATGCCGGAATGGGGGAGCCCATGGTTTCAACCCTATGAATTGTCCAACTGGACAGGCTGGGACCCCAAACTCTTTCAGCTGCACAAGTGTAGGGGCAGCTGTGGGGTGGGAGATGCGCCACCTGCTGTGTGTCTGGTCCTTGGGGGCCTCCACCCCTTGATCTGATTTGGGATCAGGATCCAGTCCAAAGCAAAACTGGATCTCAAGTGTGTCTGAGAAGTTACACTGATTCCAAGAGAGTGCTATATTCCTGCAACGAGAAAAAGTCCCTTCTATCAGGACCAGCAGTACCTCTGTGCCCTGGGGTCACCTAAGACACACAGGCCTGGTCCAGCAGCGCCCTGGGGCTCAGGAGTCACTGACGGAAGGAGGAGCTCCCAGCTCCCGGTAGCCTCCTGAGGTTCTTGTCCCGGGTACTGTGAAGACACCAAATGATATAGGTTGGCTGTGTCCTCACCCAAATCTCACCTTGAATTATAGCTCCCACAATTCCCACATCGTAGGAGGGACCTGGTGGGAGGTAACTGAATCATGGGGGTGGGTCTTTCCTGTGCTGTTCTCGTGATAGTGAGTAATTCTCAGGCGATCTGATGATTTTATAAGGGGAAACCCCTTTTTGCTTGGTTCTCACTTCTCTCTTGCCTGC